GTGTTTCATAATTGAATGCTGATCCTAAAGGGCGATAATCCTTGGATGATTTTAAGGAAAATTTTTCATGTGAACATAGGTCCGTAACAGCTTCGTTTCTGAGATACAGGATGTTGAAATTTAACAAAAAAATCAGTTATTCCCCAATATCTCTGAAACCGCTCTGGCTTTTTCCTTCATTACAAAATTTGAAAATTAATACCATGAAATTATAAAAATATTGCTTAGATCTTTTGGTTACCGCAATTGTGAAATTATGACTAAGAGTAAAAATCGAATAGGGACAAGCAAATGAATGCATTTTATTTTCTAACTCAAAAACCGTTCGCCGGTCAAAAAAAAGACATGTGACCATTTTTATGAGAAGATAGAGGATAATTACAAAAATGATATTTATTTGGAAAAAAGACAGTGGCGTATCATTATTTTGATAAAAAATATGACAGGGTATGTTAACAGGGACGCCACTGATGGAAATTGAGAAATCCTTCATTATGGAAAAATGTATTTCTATTCATACTTGGCATGTACCAAAATTGAAGAAAAAAGCCAGTGCGGTTTCAGAGATATTGGGGAATAACTGATTTTTTTGTTAAATTTCAACATCCTGTATCTCAGAAACGAAGCTGTTAATGACCTATGTTCACATAAAGAATTTTTCTTAAAATCATCCAAGGACTATCGCCCTTCAGAATCAGCATCCAATTATGAAACACCCTGTATATTAAATCATAGAAATCATCCATTTTTCTCAAAGTGGTCCAATTGATTTTATAGAAAAAGCAACGAAAATCCCAAAGTCTCTCGACCACAAAATAATTTAATGAGCGACGTGTGTTACTAGTTTCGGCCACAGGCCATCATCAGACACAAAATTGATGTAATATATGAGTACCTTATAACATATTGAGAAAAAATTACAATTGGAAAGCTAAGTCAAAAAAATTCAGTTAACAGTCCAGCATATTCAAGTGGTTTTAAATCTGGAGAATGTCCAGTAAAACCAAATTAAAATTGGGTTATTGGCGAAGTACATCAGAAAAATTATTATTCAAAAATTCTCTCACGTGAGATTCATCAAGAAATGCGAAAAGCAAATGGAAGCTAAGATAGAATGTACTTCGCCAATAACCCAATTTTAATTAGGTTTTACTGGACATTCTTCAAATTTAAAACCACTTGAATATGCTGGACTGTTAACTGAATTATAAGGTACTCATATATTACATCAATTTTGTGTCTGATGATGGCCTGTGGCCGAAACTAGTAACACACGTCGCTTATTAAATTATTTTGTGGTCGACAGACTTTGGGATTTTCATTGCTTTTTCTTTAATACCCTGTATATTCAACAAACTATCAGTGAAATTCACTCAAACCTGAGTATGGAACGAGATCAGCGAACCAAATAGCCTTACCCCGTTTCAGGTTAGCAAAATCGGAATGAAATTCCATTAAGTTGAAGCTTTACATTAAGTTAGGTTCAGAGTATCGCTCCTTGAATTATAGAGATCTCGAAACAAAACTAAAACAATTTCTCATAGGAAACTGGTTTTATAGTGTGTCCGAATTTTCAAATTCCTTATGATTGTTCTCAACTACTTTCCATCTCCAGTCGGTGTTGTTTTTGAAAAAACGATTGTTTGTGTTCGAAAAATTGATTGTTATACGACGCTATACATAGTGGAGTATACTACGGCCTTGTCAAAAATGCTATCTCGGAAACTAAGCGAGATAGAGGTAAAGTTAGTTTGGAGAAAATGATCATCATCGAATTTTGAGCAACTTAGGTTTTTGTGTGTGGTATGTCTGTCTGTCTGTACTCTGTGGTAATCATAAATCGATATATCTCCGGAACCCTTCGACATATCGACTCAAAATTTTGCCATCTTATTGTACTCATAACAATATTATGTCATCATAATATGAAGGAAATCGGAAAACTCTAAGGTGGTTTTTCCGGGTTTTTTCGATTTTTCACCGGAAGTTTCTTGTGACCACTCTACAAATCGCAAAAGTGGTCCGATCGATTCAATTTTTTGTGAAAAAAAAACTCTATTAGAAAGAGACAAAGTCTATTGAAATTGAGCAGGGTCGGGAAATTCCAAGTGGGTTTTTCAAGGAGATTTTCCGAAACACACGGTTCGCTTCAAAACGACATAATATCTACTGAACCAATAGACTAAATCCAAATTTGAAAAATGCAACTTATGCCTCTTTGATGACGCACTAAATTATTATTTCACCATTTTCTCCTGCATCCATCGAAAAATGGAAAAACAAATGAGAATCAAAACATCAAAATTTGAAATCCTGTCAATTCAATATATATCGAAAACAAATGGAATAATCGAAAATTACCAGGAGTGCAAAGTTATCCACTGGAACATTTTCTACAAATTATTACCCAGAAATTTTTCTGTAAACCCAATAGTACAGGAAATAAAGTGAAAAATAATTTTGAACGCCCCATAGGATACCATGAAGATATATTGAAAAACAAAGATTATCGATAGATGAAGCTCATCGACTTCCACTGAACCATGGAATTTTTTTTCCTTTTGTTGATTGGAAGATGGAACAAAAGTGTTGAAAATTTTATTCTCAGATAATTCCAAATATCTCGAAAACAACTGAGAATATATGAAAATGTTATGTAACCAAAATTATTCCTTTTGATAGAATCTAAAAAAAATTTGTACAACATTTTTCTCTGAATTCAATAGTTCGGGAGATACGATGAAAAAACTTAAAAATTTACAAGTTATTCCTAGATAATCACTTGCCAATAGAAAACAAAACAAAAAACAGAAGAAAAAAAAAGCACACTCGACTGTCTTGATTTCCCACAAAGAATAAATATGTTGGCAATGTTTCAACTTTCTTTTGTTCTCGTTTTTTTAGTCCCTATTGGCAGTCGAGTGGGCTAGGTACGTAGTTTGTGTGGAAAAACCAAGACAGTCGAGTGGGCTAAGTACGTAGTTTGTGAGAAAAATCTCCAGTTCTCTGAACTTTCATAGCGTCGTATAGACATCTTTGGTGCCCAATGATAGTTTCAATATAAAAATATGCTCATGATATGGTGCCATGGCCTCTTCTTCCATCTCACATGAGCAATGATAAAATATCATCTGCTTTTATAGCGTCGTATAAATTATCTGATCTCTATACTAATCTAATACCTAATGAAAACTACATCTATACTAATCTGATACCTTTCAAAAACTACGTACCGCACTTGTTCATTTCTATTATTTATTGGTTAATAATTTGTTTTCGAATTTCAATCAATTTGTATTTCAAGCTCCATATGTTTTATAAGTTGATATCAATAGTTATTTTCACATAAGACGATATTACTCTATTTAGCAAGAATTCGATGGTCTGTAAATTTTTGTGTGAAATACCCAAATAAGTAATTCTATCTTTGATCTGAGACTGCAACTTCATATTTTTTACAGGTTTTGGGAAGTTCCACTTCTTACTATTGGCAGTATGTGGATTCATCTACTTGAACACCAAAACGTTCGAAATAATAATAAAAACCATTTTTCTTCTGTTCTTCTCATTGAAATATTGCAGAATCATCATGTGTCGTATATCGTTGTATTTGTGAAAGAATATGCTATTTTATACAGGGTATACTTTTTTCACAAGTCATATAAAAAAATAAAGTTGATGATGGTTTCTCCGAAACAAAACGTCGTACGAAAAATCTCTCAACGCTGTTTTGTAAAGCTCGAAAAGTGGCAATGCAAAAGTGTCTTTTGTTTTTCTATCTATCTTCAAATAACGTCATAAAAGAATAAAAACAAAATCCGCATATTTCGTTCTTTCAGCCATATCTCCGGAAATACTCGGCATTTTGGAATTTTCTGAACGTCATATTGTTAGGCTTAAAAATGCGCAACTTTTCTCTAATTCAACCATCTTCGTATCTCTCATAGTTTCCGAGATCCCCATGATAGACTTCTCCTTATCTTGGACACAGTGTATACTTCTTGTAGTGTATCAAAAAATAATATAATGATAGCTCAAATAGAAAAATTTATCAGGAGATAAAAAACAACATTGAGACTTCAGGGGCCTATAGCGCCAAAACTAGCCATTAGAACAGTTAGGTATTCGGACATTTTCTTCAGAATGTCTTGGACCATGAAATATCAAAAATCAGACCAATTCGACAGGAGGCCAACTTTCCCTATAAAACGTGCGGTGTCCTTAGCATTAACTTGAAGCACAAAAACATACGCTGATGCTCTTAGATTCCATCCAGAGAAGAGCCATTCGCCTGGTGGGTGACGCCACACTCACTCACTCTTTGACGTCATTGGAACACCGTAGAAAGGTCGGCGACCTTTCACTTTTCTATCGATACTTCCACGGGAAATGTTCTTCGGAAATCTCTGCTATCATCCCTTCACTAGCAATACCAATCAGACGAACTAGACAAGCCCAGTCAGCACATCCTTTCGTTGTCAACCTCGAAAGATGTCGAACAGCACTTAATCAAGACGCCTTCATCCGTAGAACGGCTAGGCTCTGGAATTCATTGCCTGTGGAAGCACGATGTTCTTTGAACATTATAGGGATTCCCTTTCGTGCGCTCCAAGCGATAAGAAAAAATAAAAAAAAATAAGTTACGTTCAGAGTTGCGCTCATTGAATGAAAGAGATCTATAAACAAAACTGAGACAATTCCTCATAGGAAACTGCTTTTATAGTTTGTGCGAAAACGAATTTCCTGATGATAGTTCTCAATCTCTTTTCATCTCCAGTCTGTGTTGTTTTTGGAAGAAGAATTGTTTGTTTCCGGAAGAAGCATTGAACATATACCGTCTTATTTTTCGGTTGATAATTTGTTTCCAAATTTGAATTCACTTGTATTCCAAGCTCCATATGTTGTATACGTTTATATTAATTGTTATATTTATATTTCACCATGAAATAATCAAATGAATCTCTCTATGATCTGAGACTGCAACTTTATATTTCTTGCAGGTTTTGGAAAGTTCCACTTCTTACTATTGGCAGTATGTGGATTCATCTACTTGAACACCGCTGTTGGTATCACGATGATATCCTTCGTTCTACCCTCAGCAACTTGCGATTTCCAGATGTCTTCTTCAGACAAGGGGTGGCTTACTGCTGCCCCTATGCTTGGTGAGTATCCTTTCTTTTACCACACTATTCAACAGATAGAAGATACAATCACAGAATATAGGAATATACTGAGTGTTCTACTAAAATTTTCTTAATACATTGGAATTATACAATGGAAAAAACAGAACAGTCCAGTTTTTTATGGAGGCCAAACTGCAACAAAAAATGTCGATGGATTCATTCATCGTATTATATATAGAACACATCTTGTGAACAGGAGCATGAAATTTATTATTAGTGTGACAAAGTGAAAGGTAGAGAGTATTATTTCTCCGGGTTGTGAGTCTGGGAACATGAAAGTGTATCATCTCCAAAATGCAGCTGCAGTCCAAATTGTTCCGTATGACATCAAAAAGGAATATAATATGCCACCTATTCCGACGATCTAGAAGTGAAGCAACTGAAAATCTCGGAAGAAGTTGATCTAAATCTGGGAAGTTGCCACCGAGTTTGAAATATAGGTACTTTAAAAAATTTCGTTGGATATTTTCTAAATTAGATATAATATGTACCTGATAATGTGGTGCCCAAACTATCGATTTAACAAATAATGTAAAATACATTTGCAGAAGCATTTTCTCATTTCTTCCGAAATTTGTTGATACTCTTATAATGAATCCCAACGATCTATTCGTTTTTTTGACGACTTGCTCGATATGATTTCCAAACGATAGTTTTTTTGTCAAATATTACTCCTAGATCTTGGAAAGTTTCAGGTCGGTTCAATACGACATTGTCTAGTCCATAATTATTGTAAATAATTGGATTCAGCTTGGCGGTAAAGGACATAACATGACATTTAGAGTCATTTAGGAAAGTAATTCCCGATGCACCAGGCATTAGGTCTGTCAAGATTTTCTTGTAGAACAGTACAATTCTCTACGGTGATAATTTCATGGTATATCTCAAGATCATCGGCATTTACTGAAACAAATAGGAGAAAAAGTGCGGGGACAGTCTTTGGGGACATCCGATAGAAGTGAAAACTAACACAGAAAACAATTTAAGTAGGCCTTACCCAGACATCACACAGTGATTCTGGGAACGTTCTTAGAATATACTCGTGGAACATTCTGAATAATCTCAAGATGTTTTCACGAGGTACACTGAACATTCTGAGAATATTATAAGAGCATGCAAATGGGACGAAAATTCACGTTTCAAGAAGGTTTTCATAATATTCTACGTTCTCGGATGATTTCATGAATATACAGTGTGTCCCACTTTCCATGCTCACCATGGGTATCAGGGTATCTTTTTAACGGTAAGAGATACGAGGTCGGTTAAATGACACCAAATGTGGAGTTTGTCAGGGCCAACTATAATGGGAAAAAATATTTTGATAAAATCTATTCGTTTTTGTTTTATACGCAAAAAACTGATTTTGATCATTTTCATGTCTCCTCCGTAACTTCTTCATTTATAAAAATATTCAAATAGGAATTTCACATTCTTCTGGCAGTTTTTCAAAGTGATTTCGAAAAAGATATGGAATTTATACCAACTCTTCTAGAATTTGAGATATCAGCACCAACTTTAGTTTTTCAAATGTAGGTCATAGCTCACTATGACTTAGTTACAAATAACTTTTTTTTCTCTTTCAGATGATGTGTCGCAGTAATAGTTTTGTGTTGATAACAACGGAGTTATCGTCATTTATACAAGAACACGAAATTATTTGGAAGCCGCCATCTTGAATTCATGAATTTTAACAAAAAAATCATGATCCCCGTCCTCAAAAACCCCCACTTACCAATTTTGAATGGGATCGGACCAAATCTTGTCCGCCATCTTGGAGCAGCCATTTTTTTCAATTTCAACAAAAATTCCATAACTCCGATTAACTTGAAATTTGACAGGTGTTCATAATTTTGGTGACAATACATTATGGAATTTTTCATGAAATAAAAAAAAATGGCTGCTCCAAAATGGCGGACAATATTTGGTCCGATTTCATTCAAAATTGGTAAGTGGAGGTTTTTGACGTCAGAGATCATGATTTTTTGGTTGAAATTTATGAATTCGAGATGACGGCTTCCAAATAATTGTTTGTTTTTGTATAAATGACGATAACTCCGTTGTTATCAACACAAAACTATTACTGCGACATATCATCTGGAAGAGAAAAAAAATTATTTGTAACTAAGTCATAGTGAGCTATGACCTACATTTGAAAAACTAAAGTTGTTGCTGATATCTCAAATTCTAGAAGAGTTGGTATAAATTTCATATTTTTTTCGAAATCACTTTGAAAAACTGCCATGAGAATGTGAAATTTCTATCTGAATATTTTCATAAATAAAGAAGTTACGGAGGAGACATGAAAATGATCGAAATCTGTTTTTTGCGTAAAAAACAAAAACGAATAGATTTTATCATTTTTTTCTTCACATTATAGTTGGCCTTGACAAACTCCACATTTGGTGTCATTTAACCGACCTCGTATCTCTCACCGTTTAAAAGATACCCATGGTGAGCATGGTAAGTGGGACACATTGTATAAAACATCCCCAGAATGAATATTTTCTGTATACAGGATATTCTGAAGCGCTTGGAAAATATTTGAGAGGCCGATATAGGAGGATAATATATTCAAGAAAATAATTGGAGGAAATAGCGCTCAATTTGGATTCCACATTAAATCAAATTGCTATCGCATATAAGCATGATAAGTTCTATCAAAATTGGCGGAAAATATCTTGAAATATCAATGAAGAATCAATTTCTTCTGGAAAATTCAACTCCTGAAATGAATTGTTTCTAAACTATATTATGTTGTTATTTTCACTCATTTACTAATATTTATGTATTTGTTACCGTAAATCTTTGATCATGTTAATTTAACCTATATGCTTTTTCAATGAGAATCGCCTTTCTTTCGACAATAAAAGCAAATTTTGATGTTGACCTGTGCTATGGAGAGAAAAAGTCGACAACTTGATTTCGAATCGAACATTTTTGGGACATTTTCGAAAGCTACCCGAAAATAGACGACCTTCTTCTACTTTTTATAGTCTAGCTCCATGAGATGAAACAATCATTTTTACCCTGAAAATGGCAGAATTTTACTCAACTTCCATAAATTATTCTACAGTTATATAATTTTTGGAATAAACCTGTACAATTATTATTGAAGATATTATGGCTGGAAAAGAGATTTCTCAACGGTTCCCAGCAGATGCATTCGTTTGCGTTTAAATATCGATGCCGACCATTTAAAATCTTGTTTAGCTAATTGTTTCCGAGAAAATAAATATCGTACAATAAATCTGGTCAACGCTCACCTTGATTATTCGCGATATTCTTCTCAATCTGGTATGCCTTGTACTACAGCGAGCGTGAAATATTAGAGAGAAATGTCGAGATATGAAAAGCAAGGTTTATGGGTTGTGTTTTTTTCAGAATAGATTTTTTTGCTTGTGCAATTGCGGCAATGCGACAGTTCAATTATATTATACAGGGTGTCCGGAAACTAGGCGCAAAAAATCAAGGAGGTGATTCTAAATAATGAAATGAGGAATTCATTTTATATGTATGTTGGTCCGGAAATGCATAGTTTTCAACATACAGTGTGTGTTAAACTTTTGAAAAAAAATCGGTTTCTTATGAATATCTCAAATGTCCACCGATTTTCTTGAAATTTGGCAATGGTATTTTTGTCATGGGGGGCTAATATACCCATATTTCAATTGGAATTATGGAATCCAGTGGCCTCCTACCGAATATTATTGTCAATAAAATGTGCGCCACTGATTTTTTTGAATTGAATAAGAATGAAGAATCATCTTCTTCAAATTTTCCATGATACATGTTTGACACACTTCACACTCTGTATATTAAGTACTATGTATTCTTGGTCCAGGAAAGTGTAGTTTTCAATAATACAAAGTATGTTCTAACATGTGACATGAAATATTTTACGATGATGAATCTTCATTCTCATACTATGTATATATATATATATGATGATGAATCTTCATTCTCATACTATGTATATATATATAGGGTGTTTCACAGGTAAAGGGAAATATCTCAATGGTACATAGGGGTCACTAAGGTGGTTCTGAAAATACGATATTTGATTGGTCTTAAAATCTTAATAGCGGAGATACAGGGCAATTTATCGATTTCGAATGATTATTCATTCGGTTATTAGTATCGAATTACCCAGTATATTTTCCTTCAATTTGGTGTGGAGCTTATACTTGGGACGTTGAATTTATTCACCTATCGGGCGGAGTGAAAGTCTAGGTTTGGCTTCAGGAAAAATTTACATTTATTCGAAATATTAAAATAACATACTGTATCTAATAATCAACAGAATTCATCAAAGGAATCGTGAAGAGGAGGAAAAACTGAATTGGATTCGATGCTTTTTATTTTCCCGCCATCAATTCTCATCGTAACAATCATAAACAGAAAGTTGAAATATGTCACTTTGAAGAATATTGAAATTATGAAACCAGTTCTAATTATGATTATTCGATATATTTTAGTAAAATGATCGCTCGAAATAGCTTACTACTAAGCATCACAGTCTTTATAACAGAGATACAGGGTGAATTATCAGTTTCGAATAATTATTCACACGTCCATAACTATTGAACTACCCAGTAATATTTTCTCAAAATTTGGTATGGACCTTACTTGGGAAGTTGGATTCATTGATCTATCAGGCGGAATGAAAATACAGGTTCAGCTTCTGGAAAAGTCTCACAATATCTATAACGGAGATACAGGGTGAATTATCGAATTATAATGATTTGATATTTTCTAGTTGAATAGTCGCTAGGAGTATCAAATCCAATTCAGTTTTCTCTACCATTCACGATAATTCTCTTGATGAACTTTGTTAATTATTAAATACAGTGTGTTTTTTCATATTTCGAAAGAATGTAAATTTTTCTTGGAGCCTAACCTGTATTTCCATTCTGCCCGATAGGTCAATGAATCCAACGTTCCAAGTAAGCTCCGTATCAAATTTGAGAAAATATTACTGC